CCACCACACTCACATTATGTACACGGTAATATACAAGTAGATTAATCCGAATTTTTATATTTGAAATTTTCAGTTTGGATCATTGAAGTAGATGCATATCATCTGTATAACTGATAAATGAATGATTTTTGACTCATCGAAATAACTGATAAATACAAAATCTGACAAATAAAGGGTTGAAAAACAATCGACTTAACAAAATCACATGATTTTGTTTTACGTGTGAACTCCTGTTTTATTAAGAAAGCACAAAACCAGGTGAGAAATGTCTCTTTTACAGCTAAATTCAAACTCTCAGCCATCTCATCACACTGAATATTTTGTGGTGATGGTGGTATTATCAACTGTATTTGAAAAAATAAGTATATATACTAATTTATACGTGTATTTCTTCTGTAAATTTTCTACGGATGACTGTACAATTTCCTCTTGCTAATTTACTAGTTTCCCTATTTTCACTTATTGTGAGAATGGACGATTTCAGGGTACGAAACGTGCTCGAACAAGTGTATATCTCTAACTTTTATGCTTCCTTCTCCGAGCTCAAGTTATGAAAGAAGGCACTGAGAAGAAGGTAACTGCAGAAACTGGCTTTAGTTGACTGTGTTCTAGAAGTGCTCTTTATGGAATTCAAATTTGGTTGAGCCCTTTTGATTATAATCATAGCACAGTTGGCTGAGTTCTGTAGCCAAAACTGGTGCCCCACAGTAGAAAACTCCTGCTCCAAAATGCCAGATCAACGATGAAGAATAATGAAGAATTAGGGGAAAAAGTTGATATTATTTAACCAGTAGAAAGTGTACTAACCTATCCTTGCATTTGCATGCTTGGTACCAATTTTTGAGAGAACTTTTGTCCAATTAGGCCTCGCAAAATGTGTTCTAACCTGTTAGAATCAGGTTAATTCAACAATTTAGACCAGCATATTTTGCAAACGGTAATGGACAAGATTTGACATTATAATGGGTAAGATTTTAAGTTATTTTCTTCTTTATTATTCTCAGTGTTCAGAGCCTACATTACCAAACACGCCAAAAAGGTTCCAATGTACCATTAAAGTTTTCTTGTCCAGAGCCATATCAAAGAATAACGTTTCCTTAAACCTGTTCTAGATAAGAGGATATGATCTTACCCTAGTACCCGATACAATATCAACCCCATTTTTAGCATGGTTAAGCGCCTGGACCATGGTAATGAGAGCTGAACGTGCATCTCCTTCCTCGTATACACTAGTTAAGTAGTTATGCATCTCAATAACGCCCTATAAATTTATAAGTAAAAGATTGATATCAGAACAATAATCGGTAATTGAGATGAAACTATAAACAGTGATGCGGTGTTACCCTTTGATCAAGTTCAGCGACTTCATTCATTACGCCTTTGAACCAATCAAATGACCCTTGCTCCCTTGTTACCCAATAGAAGTAAGCATTTGTTGTTTTCAGAGTTTTCTTCTTTTTTGGAGAAACCTTGTTGTGAGAGGAAGAATTATCAGAACCAACGCTCTGATCTGAATGCCTACTGGAACCTGAAATCGAATCCTGAGAGGATACTAAGATATTCAGCTTCTAAAGATGAACTAGTCAAAATCTTTATAGCATAGTTAATTAAGACTACTATATGTACGTGGAAGGATATATTTAGAAGGATATGTGTTATTAGAAATTAAGTTGCTTACTGCTTGCTCCTCCATTTTGACAATATTGTTCAACAAATCTTTTAGAATGCTGATGAAAGGTGTTGCTCCAATTCCAAGTCCAACAAGTAGAAGGACATCATACTTTTGGTAATCTTGTGCAGGAGCTCCATATGGTCCATCTATTAGTAGCTTCGGTAAACTGAAATTTAGAGGCAACATTTGGTCATGAAAAATACTTTTACAAGCCTATAAATAGAAAAAAGTGCAATACATACACTCGTTAAGGAAGAACTGTACCTTTTTTTTGTCGTCTCGTCAGCTCTAAGTAGCCCGCTCTTCCCACCCATTGGAGGCTCACAAGCCTCTGAGAATACTCTCTTAAGTTCGTGTGTCCAGTCACCTAACTGTCTAATGTGAATACTAAGGTAGTCGTCTCCAGGAGCGGATGTGATGGAAAATGGATGCCTGGATATTTGCGACATGGAGCATTATTAAAACAGATAGAAATGAATTTCACGCATAAATTTTCGTCTTATATTAAGTAATAAAGTATTTTGAGCTTAAAATAGGTCAATATATTATTACTCTGTCATAAACGTATAGTTTCTAGCACAGAATGGAGAACTGAAATTTCAGTTGTAAAGATACAATGTAAGAATAAGTCAGGTTAAATGAGATTTTTGGCATACAAAACTAAAATGTACTTTGTGATATCTGCAGGATGATCATAGTGACTTACCATTCAAATGGAGAAACGGCTGGGCACTGGACGAACATGTATTGTCCACTCTTGTATCGAAATTGGGAAGGCTTAGACATTTGTAATGTGAGCACATTTCCAGGATAAATGGCAACCTAAAATGGTTACAATAAGTTGAAGAATTCGGAAAGTTAGAACCTCTTAATTGTGGTCTATGGCTATATTTGTCCAATTGGATTGACAAGATATTTAAAAATGCCATGCTAACCTTCAGAAGTCGAACATCACAAAATCCTGACCTGAAGAATCTGAAAACCCTTTCCCCAGAGTATAGGAGTACAGGAACCGCAAGATACATCCACGTCTGCAACCAAAGAAAATTCATCAGGAGTCTGTGCTTAGAAAATTGATTTATTGATGTTAAGAGACAGCATAATGCAATAGAAAAATCTGTACGCATACCGTTTTTCTGTACCATCCTTGCACGAGATAAAGGAACGTGCCATGGATTATGAGCAAAATGTAGACAAGGATGAACAAGTGGTGTGAATACCAGAAAGCATTGTAGCCAGTGAGCCTATCAAATGGCTTAGGCAACTTAATAAGGCTCCGTCTGAACCACCGAGTGGCCAACGTGAAAGCAACCAACATGAATATCACCATTAGGATTCCTGTCACACCCTCAACTCCTTTAACAAGGTCTATGTACGTGGGGACTCTATTACCGAAGTCATGTCCAAAATAGCGCTTATAAATATCCTCGGGTTCATTTATTAGCCTCGGGAAATCACACGTGAGGTGGTTGCCAGCATGGAGTATTACACCAATTACAATGGCTGCAGCAATAGTCTACATATATCCAATTATAACGGTCAAAAAACAGGAAAAAACGGATATGATTACCTAAGGACATAGGTTCAAGTCTACCTTGTGAAAATTGATGTTGTCATCGACGGGAAGAAAGTACCCCAACTTAGAAGACCTCATCCAGGTTAAAATGTTCCTGCATACAGGCAATAAAATGAGTGCCATATTGAATTTGAGGGTCTCTGCAGCACCCTTAGCCGTGAGGAGGCAGTATCCCATAACTTTGTATGCATCTTTCTGTTTGTACTGAAAAAACTTCCACAAGAAAAGCCCAATCATTATCAAAATCCACACCAGAAGTACCCAAATTCTCCTCCAATTTTCTTGCAAGAAATAGACCAGTTTTGTGCTCATTCTCCTTATTGGGCTTCTATTTCTAAGTCCATGAAGATTTTGACTCAGTGCCTGGCTTGTGTAGCTGAGGGCTTGACTGTAATTTAGGTACGTGTCCTTTTGTAACAATAGAGTCTCCAGCTGCCAGAGCTGCATCACCATGTGACAATATAACACGCATGAGATATGATCAAGAAAAGTTGGATCATGCGATTTATGTTCACATTGACAAAAGAAATAATGTGGGCCATATGTGTGTGTTTCAGTGCTCAAGACGCGCATTTTTTAGCCAAAAGCTGAAACTCACATGGCAAAAAATAATTCAAGGACCGAAAAAAGCTAAAATTATTGTTCTGTCATTTTCTTATTAACTTGATTAGGAGAAAGAAAAAAATAGCTTTATCGATTTCGTATTATTAAGGAAAGATTTGCCACCAAATCTTCATAATTAATTGAACTTTGACGAGACAAATCTCTCACACGCAAATACAAGACTTAAAGCATATTCCGCTAAGCATAAGTGAATTTTTATTTTAGAATATGACTTGTGAAACACGATATCCAAAATAATTAGTTCCTTGTAATATTTTTATTTTCGAATATAACTTGTGAAAGATGAAATCCAAAATAATTAGTTCCTTATATTGTTTTATTTTTTTCAACTGTGAAAGTTGAACAACACGGTAACTTGGGAGAGTCCTTAGTTGTCTAACGACTCACTCTACGAAAGGTATATCATCACAATTCACACGTTTAGTTGTAACCATTTTTCATGAGTAATGTTATTCATAATCGTTCACTGCAGTAGTCGACCTATGTGGCACACACATGACAAATAGTTATTTGATGTATTAATATGATAGTTTTTTTACCACATTAATGCATTAAATACACACTTAATATGTGTGTGCCACATAGGACGACTGTTACAGTGAGCGACTCCAAATAGCATTATTCATTTTTCATTCGTAGCAGTCTCAGTGCTGTGTGGTTGGTGTTGAAATAAATTTATGTATATATCAAAATATTAATAAAAAATGTGTAAATAATCATAATGGCGGGACCCACCTCAATGTAACCGAGTCTTTCAGGATCCAACTCTTCCATTATCAAAGCGGCATACTCCTCTGCTTGCTCTTTTAATCTCGATAACTTATTTGCAGATGCACTCAGCATAATAATCTACACAATAAGGAAAAAAATTAAAAAATAAATAAATAATATAATTGTTAGAAATTGATATCATACATGCATTTACAAATTTACCCCCCACCAACTCCTCATAAAATCTTGAAATTAAGATAATTAATAGCGTAAACGATTACACAATTTTTAATTATTACAAAATGATTAATTGAATAAAATAATTTTCATTCACCTCCTTGACTTCCTCTTCCGTGATCCGACCATCTTCATTCTTGTCCACCCTGTAACAATATCATTAATTAATACGTTTTATAGTCGTATTTCATAATTCAACAATTAATCTAGCAAAAATTTCGCTATTAATTAAAGGCCAAAAATTGTCTTATTTAAATTTAAATTAATAGTTAATTAACTAAGATTCATACATGTCGAAGAAAATCTGGAGCCTAGAATCGAAATTTTGATCCGTAATTTGTGACCAAAATTCATAAAGCTCGTCTCTGTTAATCTTCTGGACCTTCAATCTTCTCCGTCTGCCTAATGCATCGAATATTTCCAATGCAAACTCCTTTGAATCTTTCATCCCTTCATAATTGAAAAAAAAAAAAAAACATTAATAATTCGGGAACAAAGATTTGTGGACGTTAATTATAAATTAATCAAAGTTATTTACTGAAAAATATAATTAACCTATGCATTGTGCAAAATCGGCGCGATGAAGGAAGCCATCTTTGGCGAGTTTATCGAAATTGTTTTGAACCTCATCCCAGGCTTTTACGTGGTTGTTTTTGCTATTACTGATGAATTTCAGCCCCCGCAGAGCCTTCTGCGCACCGGAGCGAGTGCGATCCAGCTGAGCGCGCTGGCGGCGAATGGCTCGCGCCGCCAGAGCTGAGTCCAATCCACTGGTTCCTCCGCCACTCGCGCCGCTGGAAAGTATACGTGATGCATTCCCATGGCTCCACGAAAACCTCTTTAGCTCGGCTTTGAGCTCCTGCGAGAAATGCTTCGCTTTCGCCACCGCTTCAGCTTTCAATTCCTGAGAAAGTTGGAGAAGCTTATTCGAAGAGCTCCGGCGCATAATCGGCGATCGCGAAGCTGACACCGAAGCCGACGCCGACGACGGAGTGTCCATCCCGGAGAATCCAGTAACAAAGTCATTGTTATTGTCAATATTAATAACGGTTGCCGGTTCAACACTTCGTAGGATAATCGTATCATCGTCTTGAAGATCGAGTGTGACTTCAACAAATTCCTCGGTAGATGAAACACCGGTGTCTGTTCCTGGCGATGATCCTTCACTAAATAAATTCCCGGTGACCACTGTGTCGGAGCCCCACCGTCGTTCATGTTTACCGAACCCCCTCATTATAAACAATTGTGATAATGGGGGGCAGTTGGAAGATTGAAAATGATTTTATTTTTTATAAACTCTGTCAGAGTATATAATACGCGTCAGGAATCTATTTAAAACGACATGTAACGATGACCTATGGAGAGGGACGACAGAGAGAAAGAGTAGAGGGAGAAAAAACGAAGAAACGGAGATTTTAATGCATTTTTTGGAGCGCCATTGAATAAAGATTTGATACTTCAGAAATGGTGGGGGTGGCGAGGTAGGGTGGGTCGGGGGTATAATAGACATTTTATGTAATCGACGTAAAATTTTTTTGATCCCTCGTTTTGATTAGATGAACTAGGAGTGAACAATGGGTAGGAGTGTCAACGGATTGGGTGAAACCAAAGCAACGTGTCACGTTGAGAATTCTCAAGACAAGATGGAGTTAAAAAATTTTATACTACTCTATTTATTTATTTATTTAAAAATAATAATAATTACAGTGCACATACTACAATTGTCATATTTTATTCCTGCAACATATCTATTATTTTATAATTGACTTCACATCAAACTTCTATTCCTGCAATAAATAAACTTTCATTTTCCGTTTATTGCATTATAAAATGGTGACTAGTGCAGCAGTGCTCGATTGAGTGAAGGGCAAGCCACAACTAAATGGACCAAATTTGAACATCTTTGCTTCCTATAGCACGAAGTTGGTTGCCCAATGTTCTTTGTGTTGACATCATGGTCCGGCAAAGTTTTGAACTACTATTCAATTAGGGTAGTTAAGTGAATCAATACGTTTGACTTGTCAATCGTCGAACTCGACTCAACCCAACAAGCAAGTCAGCNTGCTTCAAAAAACCTCAACTCAACTCTTCCACTGGCTCGTCCCTAGGTGAGGCAACTCATATGCTTTTTATTTTTTTTAATGGAATTTCAAATTTTTGTATATTTCATTTTTTGGCTCTTAAACGAATCGATTTAAGTCGGCACGTGGTTCGTACAGAAAAAATTCGGCCGCGCTCGTGTGATTGGCTTGTCCATCCTGATATTCATAGATTTGGAGACCCTTGACTAACTCTTTTTAACATATTGCACATGTTTGGTGGGGATTAAAATTAGTTTTTTAGTAAATTTTGATAAAAGTTAATAAAATATATTTTTAAAAAGTTGTGAGTCCTATTAAATAGTAATTAAAATTAATTACTCTGAATTTTAATTTTTATCAAATAGGGACCTAGCATGCATATCGTGTTTGGTTGTATGTGTGTGATAGTGGACTTTACTACGCGTAAAAAAAGTGGTGTGGAGAGGGATGGGTTTTGTGGGTTGGCCCCAGTTAGGAGTGCAATGGAAGTGACAATCAAAAGGCAAAAAGTTTTCATCAAGGAAGTGAAATGACCGTATTTGTTTGATCCCAATATCCCATACTTTATGATTCCTAATTAAAATAATTTATGAGAATATTACTTAAATTTGTGCTAGAAATTAAAAAAAAAAAAAAAAGAGTTCGACTGAAAAGTCTATTATATATTTTACAAAGGAACAAATAATAGGGAGACTCGCTCACACTGTGTCGAGTTCGTTTTGTGTATATTCTACGTGATTGAGTTTTAATTTGAAGGAAAGTCACAATCACATTGAGATTTATTAAGTGCCATGAATTTTGATTAGATAATGATGCATGGTAGTAGGCTTTTTTATGTAGGGGCGTCGATGGGATGGGATAAGGACAAGATAGCCATCCCCTTCCCGTTAAGGATTTTCGAGTGGAGGGACACGATTAAAATATCTTCATCTACTCACTTATCTTAAATTGAAAAATATAAAAATAAAAAGATTCAAGAAAGTGTGGTTTGAGGTGAATAAGAGGCGAAAAGTCTTACCTTCCCCATTTCCATGGCTCCAACCTACAATATTGTGATTATAACCCTATAAATTCAATTATACATTTTGTAATTCTTACCTTAGAAAACGTTGTACATATTCCAACGTTATTTGTCCTCTTTCTTTTTCTTTTTTTTGTCTTGATCCCCGTAGTCTATTTTTATTTGTTATGGTCCTTAATAAAAAGACAAATTCATCTTCAATTTTCTTGTGGTAGATCATCTCGTCCAAATACTCCAAATTACAATAAATTCGTTTCTTTATCGATCCATCAATTCATGACATTATTCAAAAAAAAAAAAATTAAATATTTTACTTTAGTATCTTTAAGATATTCCCCTTTTTATTGGTCGTTTGTATTAACATTGTTCTCAAGATTCACTTTAGATTATTGTTATTACTATTTTCATCATAAAGTCCTCTTCTTATTCATTGGAATATTGTTCTCAAGATTCTCTTTATCGACGCGTTTTTTTAACTTTATCATAAAATTATCCTCTTATTCCTTGGTTGACTTTATTTTATTTTAGACTTCGTAAGATTTTACCTTGAGAGGGATCAAAAATTTGTAATAAAATGGTCAAAATTAATTTAGTTGGATTCTTTCTTATTTATTTTTCTCCATACTCGAGTTAAGTGAATAGTGTGAAACACGTGGTTTGCTACTTATAATATATAATTATAATTCTACTCTTAGCATTAAAAAATAAATAAATTAATTAAAGGGTCATTATTAAAGATTATTTTTTAATAATTTGTTGTATGTTTGGTGATGACAAGTGCTAGTACCAAACTGATGGCTATTTATAAAAGAAACAAAAGAAAAAAAATAAAAAATAAAACGTGGCCATGTAATCCAATTAATGTTAAAATATAACCAAAAGAAAGCAAAATACTAATAAAATTAGCAAAACCTTGAACCCCTAGCTTTTGTTATATGATTATAATGATAACAACACGATATATGTCAGCTTAGAATACATTATTAATTATATTTTCTTGTATTTTATGCTTCTAGATGACGTGTTAATCGTATCAAATCGAACAGTCTATAATATCATTGACTCATCTCGACCAGAGTTAAAACCGCACATGTTTAGCAAGATTGTTATACATTTTGGTAAGCGAAAAGCAAGTTCTATTATAATGTTCTTATCTTGCCGCCCTCAAATATCTTGGTCCGACTACAACTGCTAGCTTTCGAGTAAGCAAAATTTATATGCAATTATGCATCCAAGAGACGATATATCTATTTTTTCAATCATCTTTAGACCAATTTATTGTTTGCTTCTTGATCATCTTTTTGACCAACTAAAGTCTTATAACTTCTTTGGTCACATTATCGATTCTGAAAGTATCACATATCTCCAAAAAATTCCTACTTTGATCGCGTGGTCCTCATTCAACAAACACATTGAATTGAACAAAATTATGAACCAGTTAAATGGTCCCCAATGAATTCAATTTCCATTTGAATTCTGATTATTGAAGTGTTGATTGTGTTAACTCTTCATTTCACAACAAGATTTATCCTATACTGTTAAATAAGAGGGCTGCCTCACTATTGAGCTGTCTTAATTCTCAAAATCGGGTTTTGAGGCCCCATTATTAAAACTCGTTTTTGGTTACATGTTTACTGCCTCTTTAAGTGAGTTGTGATCTGCTATACACGTGGATGAATCCTACCTTGTATCTGAACCGGTTGATATGGATAGATATTACACTGTCTTTTCATTCATCTTCTGCGTTGGTTCTTGAAAAGTTCTTTCTCTGGATGAATTAGGGTTCCTTTGAAAACCTGTAACTCTTAATCTTTGTGTTGTAATCTCTGTTTTTGGCAAGAATGAGGGTTGTTTAGTACAATCTTTGAGAGATTTTTAAGTGTTTGATTACTAATTTATATATGGAGAGACTAGAAAGATTTTAAAGAAATCTATCTGATTTCTTCATATATTTCTGTACGATTTCTTGACTGATATTGGTGGATCTGGAGTAATATCTTTTGACAGATGTTTAACGGGTGATTAAGTCATTCAACTGAACACTCGGGCCCTTTTAGGGTAAAACAATTCTTCTATTCTTGTTTTCAAGTTTTTCTACAATTCTGAGTTTCTTAATTTTTCGTATAAACTGGTTTGTTACGTTCTGGGACCATCATAAACAAAAGGAAATTCTAAGGACGACTAATTTGGTTGTTGCCCATGTCATAAACTAACATACCACATCGACTAAAAGAAGAATCACTTCAAAAATCAAGGACGAAACCATTCTCCGTCTCGTCATTTTTTCCTTGGAGAAAGTGTTAAACAATTCAAAGAAATAAAGAAAAAGAAAAGGAGGCTAGGGTTTCATTAATTCTGCATGATGCAATTGAATACAAAAGAATGAATTAACATAAAAACAAAGAGACTATATATAGGCTAAACAAAAGAAATTGAAAAGACTATTCTACCCTTAATAAACAATAAAATAAAATACCCATATATTTAACTTTATATTTCTTAACATCCCCTATCAAACTTACGATGCGACAGCTACAAGTATCGAGAGTTTACCAACCAGAAAACGAAAACGAGAAATAGAATGCGACTTGGTAAA